TACCATCCTTCTTCAAACGGTATGGTTGAACGGTTCCACCGTTCTCTGAAACAAGCTCTTCGGTGCCACAACACCAAATGGACTGAATCTTTACCAGTAGTTTTACTAGGATTGCGAACTTGCTTCAAGGAGGATCTCAATGCATCTTGTGTTGAGATGGTCTATGGACAAACTGTCGTCTTACCTGGAGAGTTCTTTGAACCGCCTTCCGATGCTCCAAGTGATCCTTCAACTTATCTTTCGAAACTTAGAGAAACCTTCAGAACTCTAAAACCTACACCTGCGTCCTGCCATTCAAAATCGTCATGCTTCGTACATCCAGCTTTAGAAACGTGCTCCCATGTGTTCGTAAGAATCGATACCTTGAAACCTGCGCTGTCATCACCTTATGATGGACCTTTTGAAGTTCTCCATAGAACTGAAAAACATTTCACGATTCAGAAAAATGGGAAGGAAGCCACCATAAGCATTGACCGGCTAAAACCAGCCTTTCTTTTAAACATAGACTCAACAGACCCCGTACTAGAAGAAAGAGTTCCAACGCCAGCAGTTTCAACTCCACAAGTTCAATGTGAGCAAGGTGACTCTTTACCGGTTACGACTCGTTCTGAAAGAAAAGTCCAGTTTAACCCTCGATACTTGTAATCACTCTATAGACTTTCATAGACTGTTTCGTACCTTTGGTACTAAGGGGGGAGTATTGTGGTGTGCCTCGGCAAACACCCAGTCCCCAAGTAATGTACCTCGACAACCCTCCTGACCACTCCAAAAACAAACTGAAGTGAGGTAAATCCAGCCAGCATAACCGGTTGTAAACCCCCCTCATAATCACTTCCAAACTGACTCGCGTGGAGAGAGGACGCGTTCCTCAAACCTTCTTTATTTACATTACATCATTCTAAATTCTTTACAATGTACGTTTTCATTATATGTTTTTGTTATAAATTAAATTTTTCCTTAACTTAAACTTTTTTTATTCTTATTTATTTTTGTAATTAATTTTTAATTACGCAATTTAAATATAGCATGTTATTAACTTTAAAGCACACACGTGCTATAGCGCGTGTAAACAACCAGTGAGTATATACGAAGAGCACGCTACTAAATCTGTCCCAGATAGCAAAACAAGTTTTTTTTTCACTCAGCAAAAACCTTTTAATGTATACCTAAAAAATATTTTATGCGGTTTACGTGTAAACCTTCTAATCTTCAAACGAGATCTGTGACAATTTGCTCTATTCTACAAGCGAGAAAAAATCTCTATTCTTTCACAACGCCTTGTATGCTCAGTTAAAATGCACGTTGGCATGAAATTTTAATGGATAATGCAATTAGATCTTATCTATAGTATGACGTTTGCTAAGACGTCATTATGGACCTAAGTGACCATTTTACCTAAGTGATGAAACTTTTTAAAAAAGCTTTTAAAATAATTTTTAATCCTTTTAGGATGAAAGGTTTGAAACTGCATTATTTTTGCTTTATTGAAAAAAGGTTTTTAGTGCAAACATTTGCCGTTATGTGTGTCGTGGTTAAATGTCCTCTCGTTGGTTGTAGTGTGAAAGTTTGAAGAGAAGGGTTCTAGCCCAGGCTATGTTCACCTCATATGACCAGGGTCAAAACTACGTGGCATTACTGAAGCATCTCTGAGGATGATCTGAAGACATGTCATCACAACTTCTGGTCATTTGCCGTTATGTGTGTCGTGGTTAAATGTCCTCTCGTTGGTTGTAGTGTGAAAGTTTGAAGAGAAGGGTTCTAGCCCAGGCTATGTTCACCTCATATGACCAGGGTCAAAACTACGTGGCATTCCTACCATGGCCATTAAAAGATAAAGCCTTAAAAATGCAAGGTGCTTGGCCATGGTTGTGTGGCGCGCAGAAGATGTAGAAATTATTTTTGAGAGCAACATGCTTCCGCATTCGTGTAGTTGCAGTTTTCTTAATATATTTACGTCGCACTAGAACTGCACAATAGACTATTGGCCACGGTCTCTGAAGCATCTCTGAGGATGATCTGCAGACATGTCATCACAACTTTGATCCTCTTCAGAGAGGATGGCATCCCCGCTTCGGTATCCCGAAGACCTGCGCTCGAGGTCGAGTACTTTATGATAAAATAGTTCAGCGAGGACCAATATCGCACAACCTGGTTCTATCGCAGGCTGATCAAAGTGGTCATCCACCCTCACACTGGCCGCAGCCAGTAATGCTTGACTTCGGTGATCTGCTGCGAACCCTATCGTAACTAGTCCACTGCGGGTCTGCATGCGTAAACAGATGAGCGTCTATTGCATGTAAGCAGCTGTACGGACAATTGGTCAATTTTTAATTTTGTGACGTAGCTAAGTTAACTGATAACGGAGCATAATGCCAAAACGTGAATATTTTAGTCATTAAGGCTTCATCACTACTGCTAAAGGGCCATTCTCAATGGATGCGATTCACGCAAAACTGATCGCAGTCGAGGGAGAATGAGAACCTGATTGGTGAAATATATTCTCTCACAAAGCCATTCTCACTAAATACTTCCACACACTTTCGATCGCTTTATAGTGAAATGGAAAATCTTATTGGTGAGAATTTTGCGGGAAAGTATTTTTTACCAATCAGGTTTTTATTCTCCCTAAACAGCAATTCGCGATCGCAACACTCGAATACGCCATCTGGGGAGAGACCGGTTTCATGCCTTTAGCCCTTCTCCCTTCCCTCTCCTCCTCTTTTCAGTTGTATAGGAATGTACTACATATTTTCCCTTTTCTTAATATTTTTCCTTTTTATTTAATAAGAATATTTTTTAAAATTTCCATAATACTTTTCTTTAGAACTATGTTTAATGTAGTTTTCAGTTCCATATAGTTTTTCAAGTTAAAAGATTTCAATCTATATGAAAATCAAGAGAGAAACTAACGTACTTCCTTCCTCTATGACTTTCCACACGCTAATGGGGAAAGCATGTGAAGTGTTGCCATAGGNCCTATGGCAACACTTCACATGCTTTCCCCATTAGCCTGTGGAAAGTCATAGAGGAAGGAAGTACGTTAGTTTCTCTCTTGATTTTCATACAGATTAAAATCTTTTAAGTTGGAAAACTATATAGAACTGAAAACTACATTAAACATATTTCTAAAGAAAAGTATCACAAGAATTTTAAAAAATATTTTTATTTAGTAAAAAGGTAAAATATTAGGAAAAGAGAAAATATCGTAGAACATTCCTATGCAACTGAAAAGAGGAGGCGCGGGGAGGGAGAAGGGCTAAAAGCGTGAAACCGGTCTCTCCCCAGATGGCGTATTCGAGTGTTGCGATCGCCAATAGAAAAAGAGTTCTGCTCTACGCCACCTGCAGCCCATTTCGATCGCCAATCGAAAGCCCGTGAATCTCATGCTGTTTGAACTCTTCCTAATGGAGTATTCTTATTTCTTACTGTATTCGTTTAACTTATCATGTCAGAGCAATTCGCGCATGCTTGAGCAGTTCGTCTCACATGTAGTTTCTAGGCATTCTCATCGTAGGCAATCAATACAATGGAAATGACCCCTAAGGTGAGACGCACGGAGCTACTACTGAAGCGCCATTTTTACTACAAGCAATTTACGCAGCTCCGATTGCTTACCATATTAAAAAAATATTGGTTACGTCGACGAAGAGCATTAAGCTGGTATGAAACAGGCAGTCGGAAGCGTTTGTTATTAAACAATAACAAATTTTAAAGCAGTGAGGTGTGGTTGTTTTCAAAATGTTGGAGATATGTTTATTTTTGACGTTTTTCTCAGGAAGTAAGTTTTGGATTGAATTAAGAGTTATTGAATAGTTTATTATTTATCTTAACATAGATTTTTCTTCAAACCCTTTTCTCAAAAGTTATTGTTCGTGAAAAAAGCATTGTGAAGTTTCTCGATTTTCATTTCTCTTGAAAATTTCTCGAACTTGTTAGTGTGAATTTATGCCATCTAAAAATGGAAAACAAATGCTCTAGATTATCTAATTTCTTTTATTTAGGCCAATTTCTTTTATTTAGTTTTGTTAGAATTTTTAGACTTATAATACTGTTGTTTCTTAACCAGTGCTCGTTGTGTGAGTACAATTAAAAACCGTAGTTATTTTCCATTATCCTCTCTGCTATTAGAAAGCCTTACTACTTTTTAAAGAAGTGAGCTTTTCCTCCTTTATTTTCGCAAACAATATTTTTAAAAGTTTTAAAGTAATGATATAAATAATTACTGTAGTAATAATAGTAACGCTATTCACTAGCTTTCACAGATATTACTACCAGTAAAGTTTTTTAGGTATAAAAGAAGAAACTGATATCTTTTGTATTAATTTTCGTATGTAAAGCTAGCAAAAACAAAAAGGACATTGGTGGGGGCTTAATGCAACACATTAAAGTTGATGCTAAGAAAAAGGCTTCATAAATGTATAAAATATTCATCTGAGAAAGGGATATTTCTGTATCATGACCTGACTTGCCAACTACAGTCGCCAAAATGCCAAATAGAATTTAAACTTGCAAGTTTTAAAAAAAACATGTAGATGTTTGCCCGGGGATGGCTACGAGTTATACCTTTCAATGTGGTTCCTTTCTGTGATGTTTTTTGTAGTTTCTTGCTGTCCACTGTGGGCGATTATTCTGCCACAGATACCAATACGGAAATAAAAAAATTTAATTGTAAAAGTGATATTTTTTAATTCTAATATTAGAAGCGCTTTCTCGTATTTTTTAGGCGGTAAAAAGCGCTCATTATTTCCTCGTTCAAATTTTGTAAATCATTACAAAAATTTAAGTTCATAAATAAATTAAACGATAATGAATTGAAATTCGTACATAAATTAGAAAATTGTAAAATCCGTGCAGTAACTCTGATAAAAAAGAAAACAACAAAATCAAGCAAATAGGACTCTTTAAAAAAGAGACAAACAAATATGTGTGCATTCTTTAAAGGAAAAAAAATTAAAGAAAGAACGCCATTTCTAGAGCCAACTATCTTTTAAACTTTTGAGATTTCTGAATTTTGTATTTTATATTATTAATTTGAAATTCTTGCTGAAGCCAGTCATTACAGACTTTTAAAAATCCTAAATGAGAATAGAAAAATCAAAATTTTCCTTTCCTTTTTGATATGCATGAAAGACATTTTTGAAAGAAAAAAAAATTTTCAAAAAATTACGCAGAAAGGAAAACCAAAATTTTTCCATTCCCGAATGAAAAATCTTGCTTCAAACACTTTGTAACGTTCTGTGACAATGTCACCGTATCGCACAATTCTGCTACAGGGTACTATTTTTTGGTCAAATTTCAGGTAATTTTTCAATTTTTTAAAATGTGTTTTGTATTTTGCAGTTTTAGTTTTCTATTTTCATCTTTTTTAGTTTTTTTAACTGACTCATCTCTTCAAACTCATTCTCCAATGTCTTAATATAATGCTGTATTGTTTGGCAGTTGTGATGTTGTAAAAGTCAGTGAGGCTAGTTGATAGTAGCAAAGGCATGCCTTAACTTTCATTATTCCATCACCTTGCTTAGGATTGAAAAAAGAATGATGGTTTTTATACAAATCTTCATGGTATGATTCCAAGCCATCCTGATCGTCCAGCATTCCCTTTTTTGTTTTTTCACCCCTAAATATCGCCAGTTGCCATTTTGGTTCATATAACATAAGATTTCAAGTTCAAGAGATTTATTATAGCTTCTGAGTGAACCATTTTCTTTTTCATTTTGCTGCAAACCATTGTACATATTTGCCTATTAATAATATAATATTAATGAATGACCATTATTTTTATAACCTTAACTCCTTAAATTCATTAGCTCACAATATCTTAATTTTTGATGCCTGAAATGTCATCTTTTCAGTTTCCCTATACATTAACAGTAATATGAAACTGTATCAAAACTATTGCAGCGTAAAAGACACCTGCATAGATATGCTCATAGAAGGGAGGAGGTGATAACTTTTCCGCACCTCCTCTAAAAAATTGAGACGTTTTGACGGTCTCAATCCACCCTAATGTACACAAAGCTGAATTTGGTTTTTTAATATTACAGTAGAGAGCCAATTATCCGGGATGCTCGGGACCATCGCTATCCCGGATATCTGAATTTCCCGGTTTTCTGGATCGACCAAAAAGTGTCGTTAATCGATGTTTTATCGAACCCGAAGTACAAGGAAAAAGTGTAATGCATAAAGTAAGAGAAAAAAGAAAGGTACTCCTAACTTTAAAAAGAAAAAAAAATGGTAGAAATATAACATTTAAAAGAATAAAAAAATTTGCAAGTTTAGACAAGAAAATCAAGTTTAAAAAATACAAAATTCTCATATTTATTTTTTAAAAATAATTACAATTCCTAAATTAAATAATATAAACAAAACCAATGATTAAATAACGCAATATATTTCATACCTAATTATACGGGGGGAAACGATAAAATAAAAGGAAAACTTATTAATCTAAATAAAAACACTTGAAAATTATCGAACCGAAACGATAGTTAAAAAAGGCACTAGCATAAATATTAAAACCCGGAACAAGGCAAGATCAACGGAATTTAAAAAAAAAAAACCTAATGATAAAATTTATGAATAAAAAGAATTAATTTATTGAGTGCGAAATTTATCGCGAAAAGAAAAAAAATCAAACGTAGTGGAATCAGAAAAACAAAACTGCAATCTGCTTCATAAAATAATCCTATGTTTAAATTAATAAACAATTCTCCTTTCATTTTATTTTTTTTTTTTTTTGTTGATAAAAACAAGATTTTTAATTACAGCAGATGTGATTCCACACCAAGAAAAACTTGCAATTGATACCGCACTTCCAAAGAATGAGAATTTATTCAAAAGAAAAAGATTTTATTTTTATTAGTCGATGTCAAATAAATATATTTTTCTCTTTTCTTTTTCTGTTCACTGATATGCATGCAATGCATTTTCCCCACCCCCCTCGTAAATCAAGCAGAAAACGAAATCAGCATGCCACACCCTTGAGTTTGATTGACGGCCTAAAGGAAAAAATAAAACATTCCTCCCTTCCCTGCCTTCAAGGTCACGGAGGAAATGACGTTTCTCTGGGTAAACGGGGGAAAAAATCTTCCCCTTCCTTACATTTTCCTCTACTCAACTTCAAGGATGAGTCCAATTTCCGCTTTTTTCGTTCTAGTTTAAAATGGCGGGAAAATCGAGCAAAATTTTTCCCGGTTATCTGGATACCGGATAAATGGTTCTCTACTGTACTTTCTTATTTAGCTAGTTTTAATAATTTACCTTCTAGCTAAAAAAAATTTTTTTAAATATTCTACATAAAAGTTACATTGTTGCGTATAAAAGTTTTTTCACCTATATATATGAATATTTTTTGGTCTTTGTTATGTTTTTTTTTTTTTTTAAATTCATTTGGATTTGGAATAAAGACGAAATTATTTAAAGAAGATTTTCAAATGGATTTAAACATCATAACCAGTTTTTCCCCCTCTCTGAATTGCTAAGTAGCATTCACAATGCAATAAAGGATATTGTATTTCTGTGATTTCGTTTCATTATCATCCACTTTCATATAATTCTTAATTATGTAAAAGAAATAAATTAACTTTTCTTTCAGTCTCATGTGATTTATGGTGCTACAGTTGTGTAAGTTCCCAACCTGGCTGTGAGGAGTATTATGTAGATTGGCGTATTCACCATGCCATAACATGTCCACGTGATGATGATAAGTGTGTAAAGATAATTGAAAGAAAAGGAGGTAGTTATAGAATTACCCATTTTATACTACTTTTTTTATGAAGTTAATAACTTTCCTAAATTCTGGCGAATGTTTGATAGCAATGTTAATTTTAATCTGTGGGGCACATGTGGAAAAAAATACAACTAATATAGCATTTAACAAATATTGTGAACAGAATGAGATGGTAAGCATCAAAAGTTGAGAGTTGCCTGCGAGTAAAATTGCAGGAAGAAGAATGCATAACATAGAATCAAATTTTTTAAATATATAAAAGTTATTCAATGAAAAGTTTATTGCCAAAAGGAGTTTCAGCTGCCATCTTTGGTGCCATTATTGTTATGTTGTGTCCTTCATCTAAAATTAGAATAATATGAGTAGTTTTTCAAAGATAATGATTGCTTGCACAAAGATTGAATCATATAAACAAATACCATAGCTCATATTAAGGAGTGGGTTTTTCCCACAACTAAATATAATCTTATGAAATTTAGTTCATAATTATCCTATATGATTGAATTTTCCTTATCTTAACTGTTGATGTAATTTTCCTTATCTCTTTGACTAGCATTGCTTTGCTTCAAAGTATTTTGCTTACAAACATGTTATCCTTTGAACTGTTATGAAGTAATGTAGTGAAAGTTAAATAGGGACTTGGATCTGAAAACATATTCTACAAATTATATTCTTAGAGTAAATGCAAATTCAATGTAAATAAAAGCCATATAATATTTGCCTATTTGTATTATTTATCTTTTGATTGCTTTTAAAATATAGTTTATCAGTTGTGTTAATAATCAGTTCTCTATATCTTAATGCTGTAAGCAAATATTTTGTTACGAAGAAGAAATTTATTCTTATTTATAACTATTTAAAATCTTTTTAAATCCATGACTAATGATCTTAATTATTGTTTCTTTTACTTTAATAATTTTAATCAAAGTTTTTTTTTTTAATAACTGATTTTGTTATTAGTTTTAATTTATTGATACTCTTTCGAAAACAAAAAGAATAGGAAAAAATATCCCACACACATTATAATTGTCACCTAATGTAGCATAGCAATGAAGGAAATATAAGTTCTTGTATTTAATTTTAATGCGTATATGAATATCCATCTAAAGTTTCAGCCTGATATCTAAATAGAAGTATGTTTTTACCCATCATCCATTTCATTTTTTACTTTCCCTGTCTTTTTTTTCTTAATGAAATGTTGCTAAAATTTTGTGTAACAAGAAATAAACTAACTTGATGTATTGACATAATGTAACTATCATGATGTAACCATCTAATATAATGCCGTTAGATGTTACATCCAAATATTATTGATTATCCAATCAGTTAGTGGAATAGGTTGATTGCAGAATATTAGCTATTTATCTGTTGCATTTTCAGTAAAAATGAATACAACTGAGTTATTTACTTTTGCAGCATTTTTTTATAATTACTACACCATTGTTGTCTGCAAATGGAACTTTATTTTTTAGTTTCAGGTTTAGTTTCATCTTAAATTTAAATTATTAATATTATTTTAATTTTGAGATGAGTTGCATAGTCTAGTCACTATAAAACCAAAAATTTTAAATTGGCCGTTAAAATAATGATACTTCTGACTAGATTTTATTAATCATAATTCTACATTTTTATCCTTAAATTTATAACCTTAGACCCCAAACTTAGTTCTGAGTTGAGCCTACATGTTTTCTACTACAAAAACTGATTTTTGTCCAGAAACTTGCATAATAATAATTAAAAAAAGAAGTCCCATAAATTTACATTCGTTACTTTTCACAGATATTACTAAATTTTCTTATTTAAATTAAAAGAAATTATTAAAATTATTCTCACAGTTGTCTAAAAATATATGCTGAAAAATTTATGTTTATTAGATTTAAAAAAAAAAAAAAAAACTCTTTTTGCCTGCAAAAAAGTACTATAGTTAAGTTTCCTGTCAAGGTTTAACTCTCAGTGAGAAAAGGATATTTAAATTGTTATACCTAACACTGTTTAAACTTTTAACTATTATATAAATTATTATTTCGTTTAAATTATATCAGTTTATGTTAAAATAATAGTAATGTAACAAGAAATATTTGTGAATGAATTATTTTTATATCCATTTGTTTTTATATCCACTTATATACCCATTTGTATATTTTTAGTGGATACGTTTATAACTAGAGATTGCCTATCAAATTTGGAAGGTCAGAAAAAAGATATACCAGCTGATAGGTATGATGGTTGTAGGAAAGCTGCTGAGCAACCTAAATTGGCTGTTTACGTAGAAAATCACATATCACAGCTTGAAATCAAAAAGTACTATTTTTACGTTTATTTGTGCATTAATTTAAATGATTTTAATTATGAAATTACACATTTCTGTTTATTTTTACTATAGGAAAAGTCTTCTCTCCTTGTTGTTTTAATATAATATTTTATTTGCCCAGCATATTTTAAAATGACTGTAATTATGTTTAATACAATATAATGTAGCATACCTGCCAAATTTAGCTCATTCCAATAATGATTTTTCCAAGTGGTAGTGAAAGGAGAATTGAAAAATCAATTACCGACAAACTAGTTATATATCTTGGCAGAGTTTAAGCACTCCTTCCTATGAACTTTTCCTAAATAACTTTAAAAGCATTGATCATGACCTCTCAAAAAATGCTTACATTTTCAAAGCACTCATTGTTATAGTTCAAAAATATTTTAAATAATGATTCACATTAACAGATTATGTTGGGTAAATAAAGAAAAAAATTTTTTTTTTAAAAAATAAACAAACATTTACAGCAAGCTATAAAAAAAAAAGAAAGTTGGTCATTAAATAAACTATGCATTTTATTTGTTTAGTCTCTTCTCTTCCTACAAAAATGATGGATTCAAAAATTATGTTCATGAAGTTAAAATACCGTATATTCCGGCGTATAACGCGCACCCGTAATTTCTAATAATTTTTTTTAAATTTTAAGATATACTCTTCGTATAACGCGCATGAAAATTTGGATTGTACATGTACAATATCTCGTCTAGTATCTATAGAAAACCAGAAAGCCTTTCAGTGTGGGACATGTTTAGATCTCACCTTACAGATAATGCAAAAAAAATTGTTGAAAGAATGTAACACCGATGTGGCAGTTATTATGGGCGGATTGACACCATTAGTTCAGCCATTGGAATTCTGCTTTTAAAGCCAATTTAAAAAAAACAGTGGAACACTTGGTTGTTGGAGGGCGAGAAAACCTTTAAGAAAGGAGGATATATGCATCATGCAAGTTTGGAAACAGTGTGCGAATGGATATTAAAAGCATGGGATGAAATTAAGCCTGAGATGGTTAGAAAATCATTAAAAAATGCAGCATTTCAAATAATCTGGACGGATCAGAAGATGACTGTTTATTCATGGATGAGGGTAACACAGATGATGAAGACGAAACAGATTGTGATGACGTACCTGAAGAAATAACGGAAGACGAATATAATTAACTAATTATGTAATAACGAAAATCAATGAAGTATATAGGTATGTTATTTCTTTAAAATAAAAATATTTTTCTAAATTTAAATTTTTTTAATCTATAATTTTTTATATTCGGGGTATACCGTGCACCCATAAATTCCAATGTTATTTTTTGTATTAAAAGTGCGCGTTATACGCCGGAATATACGGTACCCAAATTTTAAATTTAATTTCAAACTTAACTTTAAATTCATGCATTTGTAAAGTGGGGCAAAAGAAATTTTTTTTCATATTTTTCAGTGTTATTATTGGTTATGTAGATACTTTGATTTAAAAAAAAAAATTATATAAGCAGTTCAGAGCAGAACTGCTGTTAAATATGAAGTAATTTTTGAATTTTTTAAAGTTATTAGTGTTTCTAATATTTTATAAAAGAGATTCTAATTAAAATTTAATATAAACTTTTGATTTCAGCACACATTATGATGAAGTGACCTATTGTTTCTGTGAGTTTGATCAATGGTGCAATGCAGGAACTTTTTTGTCTACAAATAAATTTATTTTACTTTTTACATTTTTAGCATTTCTATTTGTTACTAGAAGAATGTGAATACCGGTTTTTATTTTTTTATATTTGGGTGTGGTTTGTTAAAATATCTTGCAATTTTTAATTATTTTTACCGTTATTTATTGGTACTAAATTTTTCATTGAAAAGTTTTATGTCAATTTTTTAAGACTTATTTTTCTATGACATTAATGTTTGATTAGTAAAAGTATATCAAGCTTTTTTTTTTTAAAAAAAGAACTTTTGATTTATCTTATATCCAATGAAGTTTTGCTTATTGTTAATTGTAGTAGTTTAATAATAGCAATTATAGTCACTTTTCTAATTTTCTTGTATGACTATTTTCTTAGTATTTTTATTCATTAACAAAATAAATTAGAAAAATAAAGATTAAATTTGTCTTTGGTTAATTAGCAAAATTTTTTCTTTGGTCAGCTTTATTAGCATAAATTTTAAACTGTTTCTTCTCCACAATCTTTTATTTTTTTTAATGAAAAAGCATGGAAAAAATTGGTGTTGGTAATCAGTATTAAATATTTTTTGCTGACTTAAGAAATAACTGCCTTTTGCTTCATATTTATGTTGAAAAATATCATAAGAATCTCTTTATTTTTGTTAAAAATTATATACTTTTACCGATGATCCACCTGATTTTCAACCTTTTTGTGAAAGAGCTTCAATTTATTTTTACTATCGAGGTATATTTTAGGTTATCAACTTTCAATCATTTTCATTTTTTTCGAAAAATCATTAGATGGCTTTTGGCTTGTTTATTTGTTATTTTTTACAATGTTATTTTATACATTCAAGATGCTCTCTTTAATGTTGCATTTTATTCAACTGGACATCGAATGCTGATAAAATTTGTGAGTAAGATGCATAAAGATACTAGGTTTTATTGTTGTTTTGTGTGATATTTTCAATGCCTTCCTTTATTACAAACCAATGATTTTTACTTTTTTTTGGTATGGAAAAATTTCATCATGAATATCAGTTACTTGAATTTGTTTCATGGTTTACTTTTGAAGACTAGGGGGAAGATTGGGTTTTGTTCATTTAAAAAAAAAGAAAGACAATTGGATCACCATCTGTTGCATTTTGAGGATTACTAAGTTTTCACAAATAAATAACGCGGAAAATCGGTTCTCCCTGAAAATTATCACACTTTAAAAATGAAGACGACTACTTCTACTGAGGAAGTATTGATTGGAGAAGAATCCGATTTTCAAATTTTATCTCCACGTAAAAATTTTTTAATTTTGTTTTGTAATGTTATGTAAATAACATGCTTGTGATGTTCTTGTATATTTTTATGATTGCAATTGTATGCTAGCTCCTAAATAATATGAAACATTTAAATTCGTTTTTTTTTTCTTCACAGAATCATATTTTATGAATATAAACCATTTGTCCCCCCTTAGTCTTCATTTAACATATACTTACTTGAAAACAAGGTTTATTGAGTATGTCAATTTCTTTAAAATTTATTAATGGATAATACAGACAGCTATTTTTCTTGAATTTTAAAAATGTTTTGTTTCTAGTATTGTAAGTTTAAAAATATTATTTTAATATACTATTTTTATAACAACTATCTATAGTAATAAAAATGGAGGAATTTGTCATAATCAGGGATGAGAGTTTTCTGCTTTTGTCTCTCGAATTTCAGCCTTTTTATCAAACACTCCGATTTTCTAAAAGTTCAATGTTTTTTTTTGTTTTTTAATATTCCGCTTTTTCTGAAAATTCAGTAGTTGAAATAAAATAATTATATTTATTTCCAATTTTCAAAGATAAATAGAAAATTCAAATTATGTCCTAGCTGATAACCCCCCCCCCATATAAACTTATTTTAACGCGTTCACATGCAGAAAATAAGATTTTTCATATTTTTACCCGCCTGCCAGATAGCTCATATTTTTGTAATTCAGGTGTAGCTGATTCCCGTTTTCTGGAGTGAAAACAAACAAAATAATAAATAGCTGTGAAAATATTTATTTGCTCATTCACTAATCTTGTAAATTTTTGTTTATTATGGCTAAACAAAACACAAACAAGCCTTTTAGGAATCCCAAACACAGAATCTACTAATACCTTGATTCTTATTTACACGATTTTAATATCAAACATCGATTTTCGTATTTACCTGATTTAAAAGTTATGCATTCCGATTCGTATTCACGTGATTTAATTATCATACAATACGATTCTTATTTACGAGATTTAAAAATCCAATATTGCGATTCAAATTTACGGGTTTTTAAAACCCTCAATAGTAGTGATTCATATTCACGAATTCGTATATATATTCTTGGATTTTCCACTTTTTTACTTTCTGACTACTCTCATCCCTGCATAATATTTGGAATCATATCTTCAATTGTTTAAACCTCTTCACTCTTGATGTTCTCAAGTCAAAATTATGATGTGAGATTTATTCCTCGTATTTTTCAACCAAAAAAGTTTTTACATTATAAATTTTTCATTTTATAGTAGTTCCCGATTATTATAATGTAAAATGAGTTAAAAAAATTTTTCAAATAATATGACTTTCGGGTTCAGCAAATTTTTAATATTTCTTATTAAAATTCTCACTTCATTAATAATTTTTTGATTAAAGGCATTTATAAATACTATATTTTGATTTCTAAAAGTTAGTCATATAAATAATGTAGTTTTAATATTTATGTGTTATAATCCGTCCATTTATGAAAATGTTTATCTTTGAAACTTTTGCTTTTGTATATTGCATATTTTATAACCTTTATTAAAATTATTAATCATAGAGTGAGTTGAAATTCACTCAGTGGGTTAGTAAAATATGTTAAGAGGAACAAAAATTGTAGTGGGACATGAAATTTCTAACCACATGTCTAATGCATCACATGTACAAAACTTATAATGAATGGAAAGATGTTTATTTCACAAGATGGACAAACATTTTGAGTTTAAACCAAATTTAGATGCATTTTTTTAAAAAAAAAACATGAGACAATATTAGAATAGCATGTTTGAGATGATCCCTTTGAACCATTAAAGTCGCATTCTAGTTCTTTATAATTCATTTATTAAATCAAATGCTTAAGGGTGATTACTTTTTAATTTGTAGTTTGCTCTCCTTGTTCTTAAACAGCATTAGGTTTAGCAATTTTAATTTGTTTACACTGTTTGCCATTTGTTCTTTACAATTTTTGTTCCTCTTATATTCATTTACCCTTTACAAGTTTTCTCAAAAATTTGGACTCATTTGTATAAATACTATTTTGCATTTTTTGAGATATGTTGTATAAAATGGTTTCAGTCTAAATGTGTTTTAATCCGTCCATTTAATGAAGTACAATTCCATTTTAAAATGTGATTATGTATATCACTCTATATTACATATATCTGGAATTCATACATATTTTATAGATCTGTCAAGTCAAATATCACAATAAATATATTTTGTAAATAGTGTCTTGTTATAGTATATAGATTAATACAACTCCATTCCATATCAATCAAAATATCTCAATAGAAAGAACCGACAAAGGTAATGCTCATTTCTTCACATAAATTTGCTGGACGTGATCTTGGTCTCCAGAACTGCCAGTTGTAATACACTGTAATTAATTGGATCAATTTAAAATCTAATAAAAAAAGACAAAATTTATATGAATATTTAAGAGAAAATATTGCAAAATTATTTTTCTTCAACACTGAAAACTTGCATGGATAAGGTTAATCTTTTTAAGATAAACGTAAGTACCCCCTTTCCAAATTAAGTATCTGTAATCAGAAGTACAGCGATACGTATATAACAAAATCCAAATTACTTAATATTATTTATTTATATTAGTATCTAATATAAATATTACACATAAAATTACTATTAAATGACAAAAATGTATTCTTAAGTGTTACTTTTTTTAAAAATAATTTGTAAACAGTAAACTTTCATAACTGTTCGTAGCTAGGGGAAAACTATTTTAAACTGATTACAAAAATGAATAAAATAGTTTTCTACGGGTCTTTCTTTTTGGTCAGACTTAATCTGTCACATAGCCATCAACTTACTTAAGAGTATGCAATATAGATTTGGCTTATAAATATTTTGCATTGACTCAATTTGGAACTACAGTCGGACTTCTATTTAACGAATTTCTCTTTTTTGCGAATTTTTTCGTGGAACCAAGAACATTTTGGAAATTTCTTCGTTAAATAACTTCTAAATAGCAAAGTGAATTTTCTATTTAACGAATTTTTTTTTTGAGATCTACTTTCCCCATTTCCCAAAATATTTGAGAAAATTATTAACTTGTAACGCATTTCATGGGGGAAATGACCTTGAACTGATTTTCGCACCCCCTTAACTTTTAGAGAAAGCAATAAAATTCCTTTCCCTTTTTGTTTGCATTTCATACAGGAAATGCAACGTCACTAGAAAAGGGGGGAAAGGGTCAAATTCCTTGAATAGGAAATGAGTAGAGAAGATAAAATGAATGGGTTATCAAAGTGTGTGGTCCCTGGTCCCTTATTGACATGTCCTATTATCCCCACCCCCGCTGTTCACTTCCTTTCTAGAAAAACTTTCAATGTTCACTCAGTAGAGCTCCGTTCTCGAAATCGCCTCCTGTATTTAGATTGCTGATCAGAGTGTGCTGCTTGTTGCTTTTCTTGCGGCTGCAAAATGTCGAAGCGAAAGTGCCTGACTATTAAAGAAAAAAATTTAATTCTTCAAGAAGTGGATAGAAGCGTAAAAAAAAAGATATTGCATCAAAATTTGGTATTCCTTCAAACAGCTTATCAACGATAATAAGAAACCGTGATAATATTGAAAACAATGATTTACCAAATCCTTGTTCAAAACGTTTGAAAACATGTGTCTATGAAGATGTGAATGAGGCAGTTTTGAAGTGGATACACGCAATGCGAGATAAAAACGTGCCGATCTCTGGACCTTTAATAACCGAGAAAGCAATGCAATTTGCAAAGGCATTGGGACACGATGAATTTCGAGGAAGTAGTGGATGGCTTGACAAGTTTAAAAGAAAACAAGGAATTGTAGGAAA